TACATACTTTCTACAATGGATCATAAAAGGTTTCATAGCTCATTAATTTATATGAGCTTAAAAGAATTTAGATCGCGTCATAAAAGGTAAATCCATGACATGTAATTAAGGGAAAGTAGGACTAGAATCAGACATCTCTAATGTTCGGAGTGTGACGTGATCACTGAGGCACTCTGCCCTCCAGTGCTTTTCTCAGTGTGAAGCAGAGCCCTCAGCCAAAAGGAAAGGACTGACTGACATCCATCATGTGGAATGTTCTCTTGTTGACTAAGGTAACCTTGTGTTAATAAAACTACTTGTGAAAACAAAGTGTCATTTAACATCTCTGCTTTATTGTCTAATCTGATAGCCTGGTTAAGGATTATTAATGTGCCTTCATGGGGGGAAAAAAATTGTATTTAAATGCATCTATCTACTAGTTTTTGAAATTTTAGCTGAAATAAAAATGAGACAGTACATAGCACACAGCAGATTTTTTAACAGAAATTTAGCTGCTATTATAAAGTATAAGGATGTGAAAGTGAAGTCACTCAGTCATGTCTGACTCTTTGTGACCCCATGGACTACAGCCTACCAGGTTCCTCCGTCCATGGGATTTTCCAGGCAAGAGTATTGGAGTGGATTGCCATTTCCTTCTTCAGGAGATCTTCCTGACCCAGGGATTGAACCCAGGTCTCCCACATTGGAGGCAGACGCTTTAACCTCTGAGCCACCGGGGAAGTCTATAAGCCTCCCTCGTGGCAGATGAGAGTGGAAACAGAAGGCCGTTCTGGACAGCAATCCGACAGCAGTTAATTTACAATTTCTGCATATATTCTACTGTACAGCGATCTTATTTCTGGGCATAGTGACAGACAACTTCTCACATGGGGCCACAAGAAGATGGCTATAAGGATGTTTACCTCCAAGTTGTTGGAGTAGCAAAGTGGCAGAAGTTGGAATTCAAGACTAGTAAAGTGGATAACGAAAATGAAGGCTATGAGAACACTATAAAATGGTCAGACATGATGAAACAGATTATGATATAGCAACAACAAAAAAAAAAATCCCAAGAACATAATGGTGAATGAAAAGAGCAAGAAATTGTATATTTTAATGCATGGTATAAATTAGGCAGGACTTCAAAACAAATGCACATAAGGCAACATCATTATAAGAATACACATATTTATTTTACAAATGAAACTGTTAGAAAGACATAAAATATATACACTAAAATGAATAACTATGGAAGATGAAGGAGGATGGAATGAAGGAGAAAAGAAATAAAAGAAGAAGAAATAAAATGAAACAAATAAAATACTTTATCCAGAGTAATCACAATGATAATATTGGAACAAACTGAGGAATATATTTAATTTTTTACTTTATACACCTGGTCTAATGAGAGAAGGATTGGGAAAGACAAATACTCACTGATGTGTAGTTTCTTATTCTGTCTAAAACTTGTCATTATTAAAATCAGTAAAATTCTTTGATTTGTTTACAAGGCTACCCTCACTATGAAATTATTTGTGTCCATTTTTAACTAGACTTCAGTGATTTCAAAACTATATAATAACATTTAATCTAAACCCTGCTGAGACATAAGGGAGCAGAAATGGTCCATACAAACCTTAGCCTCCCAGAACTTAGAACACACACCTCAATCAGAGTGCTAGGCCAAGAGCTAATATCCACCCAGCAGATAAAAGGCACAAGAGACAACAGTGCTAAAAAAGGGAGTCTCTCAAAGAGGGGCCACCGTTTTTCATTGTTCCCACTTACCAATTTCACGCCTGGAAGTGAAGGCTGAATGTGAGAATGAGTTTAACAGAGAGGAAATGAGGATCACTGGAAGAGGATAAGTGGAAGAAGAGAATATCTGAACAGATAATTTCTTAAAGTTCACTAAGCATCAGAACCATCTGTGCTGCTGATTAAAAGTACTGATTCCTGCTCCCACCTACCCACCTGGGGTGATCCTGATTCAATAGGCTTAAGGTGAGGTCTGAGAACCTGTGTTTTGCTAAACCTCTCTAAGTGATTTCCATGAAGAGTCAGGTTTAGACTCCATATGAAATCCCTACCCTCCATGAAGATGTAGAATATATATATATTTGTACATGCATATAATGTTTTGCAGTATAAATGGGTAGGAAAAAAGGAAAGAAAAAAATAGGTAGAAAAAAATCAATCACTGTTTCCCTGGGCAAATCCCTTAACCTAACTCTACTTCAAGTTTTTTCTTCTGAAAAATAAAGAATATGGAGTAGAAAATAATTCATATACCCTGCAGTTCTAAAATAACATGATTTTGGTACTTAGTTAAGTGGGAGCAGTAAAGAAAAATTAACTCAAGGAAAAAACATCCCATCTGGTCTTACTGAAATATTGTGAAAAGTTTTCAGTTCTAATTTGGTTCCTTATATAGAGCTTCCTTTTCTTTTTTATGATCTTTTTTGGTAATACTCTCTTTAAGCTCACAGATATAGAATATTTTAAAAGCATTGTTATAAATAATATAAATGCCAGATTCTGTTTTACATAAGTCAAACAAAATAGCAGTGGTACAACATACCAACATGACAAAAGTATGTGTGATTTATTCAAGATGAAAGAACTTTATCTTGATCTCTTTAAATGTTTAAAACCATGTCCTACTTGGTTGAGGGTTGTTGACACTATGGTCAAGACAGTTTCAGCAACTCAAAAAGTGCTGATGATATCAGTGGGTCTCTGATATAGGCTACTCCAATGATCACTTTTCATTTTTGCCTTTTCATACAGTTCATGGGGTTCTCAAGGCAAGAATGCTCAAGTGGTTTGCCATTCCCTTCTCCAGTGGATCACATTTTGTCAGAACTCTCCACCATGACCCATCCATCTTGGGTGGCCCTACATGGCATGGTTCATAGTTTCAACTTAGACAAGACTGTGATCCATGTGATCAGTTTTGGTTAATTTTCTGTGATGGTGGTTTCATTCTGTCTGCCCTCTGATGAATGAGGATAAGAGGCTTGCGGAAGCTTCCTGATGGGAGGTACTGGCTGTGGGTAAACCTGGGTCTTGCTCTGGTGGGCAGGGCCATGCTCAGTAAATCTTTAATCCAATTTTCTGCTGATAGGCAGGGATGTGTTCCCTCCCTGTAGTTTGGTGTAAGGCCAAACTATGGTAGGGGTAATGGCAGTAATGGAGTTCCCTGGTGGCTCAGCTGGTAAAGAATCTGCCTGCAATGCAGAAGACCTGGGTTCAATCCCTGGGTTGGGAAGATCCCCTGCAGAAGAGAAAGGCTACCCACTCCAGTATTTTGGCCTGGAGAATTCCATGGACTCTATAGTCCATGGAGTCACAAAGAGTCAGACACGACTGAACAAATTTCACAATGGAGGTGATGGCAACCTCCTTCAAAAGGACCTATGCCATCAAGCCACAGCTCCCAGGACTGTTGTATTCAGTGCCCCTGACCCTGCAGCATGCCACTGTCGACCCACACCTCTGCCAGAGACTCCTGGACACTCACAGGCACATCTGGTTCAGTCTCTTGTAGGTCCTGATGAGCACAAGATTTTGTTTGTGCCCTCCATAAGTCTGTTTCTCCAGTCCTGTGGTGTTAGAGAAGACTCTTTAGAGTGCCTTGGACTGCAAGGAGATGAAACCAGTCAATCCCAAAAGAAATCAACCCTGAATATTCATTGAAAGGACTGATGCTGAAGCTCCAATACTTTGGCCATCTGATACGAAGAGTTGACTCATTAGAAAAGACCCTGATGCTGGGAAAGATCGAAGGCAGGAGGAGAAGGGGACGACAGAGGAAGAGATGGTTGAATGACATCACTGACTCAATGGACATGAGTTTGGGCAAGCTCCAGGAGATGGTGAAGGACAGAGAAGCCTGGCGTGTGGCAGTCCACAGGGTCGCAAAGAGTCAGACACGACTGAGCAACGGAACAACAACAACAGTGATCACTTGGCACATAGAATAGTTCATGGCCCATAGAGGGTGACCAAAAAATATTTACTGAATGAATTGATAAATTCACAGCTATGCAAAAATACTTCTCTTAGCAAAAGCTCTCACCAGTGCCTCTTAAACTATATATTTCTACTGACAATTTAATATCCTTAATATTCTAATATACTTTTTGCCCTATAGGTTTTATGTGAGCCAATAGGTTCTCAATTCCAATCTGGCGGAGAGGGTAATTGGAATTCCAATTCCAACTATCTATCCAGAGGCAGCATCAGATTTTTCAGGTTGAACATTGAGGGTTCTGTACCACATGACTGCCCTCCTGCTGACTTCAGGCATCAGTACAAGCCTAGGTGTTGACTGTGCTTCTGATCCACCTAATTCAGATTGGTTCCCATGATACCACCCTTAGACTTCAGCACCAGTTATAAATGAGAGGTTCCCAAGACCTCTTCCTTTGGTTTGAATAATTTGCTAGAGCAACTCACAGAGCTCAGAGAAACATTTTACTTACCAGACTTCTGGTTTATCATAAAAGGATATAATTCAGGAACAGGCACATGGAACAGATGCAGAGGCAAGGTAGGGGACTTGCATGCCCTTACCAGATATGCCACTCTTAGCTCTTCCACACATTGTCCAAACTGGAAGGTCTCTGAACCTGTCCTCTGAGTTTTTATGGAAGCTTCATTACACAGTCATAACTGATTTTATCATTGCCACTGGTACTGATTCAACCTCCAGCCCCTCTCCAGAAGAATGGGGAAAAGTTGCACTTCTAATCACATGGTTGATTTCTCTGGCAGTCAACCCCATCCTCAGGTTATCTAAGGGCTTTCCAAAAGTCACCTAATTAACATATCACAAGAAAAGCCAAGAATTGAGGAGCTCTATGCCAGGAACAGAGCTCTCTGCCAGGGTGGAAGACCAAATATGTATTTCTTATCACAAATCATGATATCACAGTGAGTCTAAATTTAAGTCTTCTAATCACCTTCAACATTTAGTTAAACTTTAGAAAACATTCCTGAGCTGTTGTTTTACCTACCTGCAAGTGCTACTTTTCTGCATGACGTCAGCTCGATGATACCCAGAGAGTTTGCAAAAACCGTCATTACTATAAACTACAGGCCAATCCACAATCTGGGCATTTCCCAGTAAGAAACTCGATTCTAAAGAAGAAAGAAGAAAAGGGAAGTTTTTTAGCTTCATTTAACAATGTACATCTTTCAAGTAATTAAAAATACAAATTCATAAAAATAAATAAATGTAACTGTGGTTTTTATAGCATGAATAATAAAATATATCCTTGAAATTATTATTAGCAATACATAACCAGGAGGTGAGATCTGCAACAAGTACGAGATTTGCATATGAACTAAAAATTCCATTGAGAAGAAGCTAGTTTACAATACTCTTGCATTCAAGTAAATACTATACTATGAAAATAAAGTATGGTTAATATTAAATAAATGTTAATAACTATAACAATCACAGCTAAAAATAGTTTAATTTATTAAGACTAAGGTTACAGTCAGTTCTTCACAAATTGAGAATATTAAACTTAAAAGCAGAGGCAACTTTGGATGACTCCTCCAAAAAGTGTTTGAATGTAATTTTAACAAGATGGGACAAATTCTTTGTACATCAGTTTGATTTACAGAAGGGCTTCCCTGGAGGCTCAGTTGGTAAGGAATCTGCCTGCAATGTGGGAGACCAGAGTTCGATCCCTGGGTCGGGAAGATCCCCTGGAGAAGGGATGGCTACCCACTCCAGTATTCTTGCCTGGAGAATCCCATGAACAGAGGAGCCTGGAGGGCTACAGTCCATGAGGTTGCAAAGAATCAGACATGACTGAATGACAAACCTTTCCTTTCCTTTCCTTCATTTCAGTTCAGTTCAGTTGCTCAGTCGTGTCCAACTCTTTGTGACCCCATGGACTGCAGCACGCCAGGCCTCTCTGTCCATCGGCAGCTCCCGGAACCTACCCAGATCCATGTCCATTGAGTTGATGATGCCATCCAGCCATCTCTTCCTCTGTCATCCCCTTCTCCTCCTGCCTTCAATCTTTCTCAGCATCAGGGTTTTTTCCAAGGAGTCAGTTCTTCACATCAGGTGGCCAAAGTATTGGAGTTTTAGCTTCAGCATCAGTCCTTCCAATGAATATTCAGGACTGATTTCCTTGATTTACAGAAGTCTAACTTAAAATTTTTTTTTAAAGCCTCTTTTTAAAATAAAATTATTCAAAGACATTATTTTCAACCACATGCTACAAGGAGATCAAACCAGTCAATCCTAAAGGAAATCAGTCCTGAATATTCACTGAAAGGACTGATGCTGAAGCTGAAGCTCCAATACATTGGCCACCTGATGTGAACAACTGATTCATTAGAAAAGACCCTCCCTGATGCTGGGAAAGACTGAAAGCAGGAGAAAAGGAGACAACAGAGGATGAGATGGTTGGATGGCATCACTGACTCATTAGACATGAGTTTGAACAAGCTCTGGAAGTATGGTGATAGGGAAATCTGGCATTCTGCATTCCATGGGGTCTCAAAGCGTCAGACACGACTGAGCAACTGAACTGATTGATATTTTCTGACCTGAAAATAATTTAATCAGAAGTCGTCTTTTAATTATCTAGAAAAATCTAAAGCATTTGGATGTTTGGAGGTTATTCAATTCATTTCTAAACCACTGGGTCAAAGTAGAATTAAAAGAAATATAAAAGATATTTTTAACTGGATAATAAGTTTGTGGTATATATTTAAAGTAGTGCTTAGGGAGAAATTTCTCATTTTAAAAGTTTATTTTTAACGAAAAGTTTAAAATCAATGATCTAAACTCTTACATGGAAAAGAACTAGAAAAATAATAGCTATTAAACCGAAATTAAATAGGAGGAAATAAATAAGCATTGGAATGTTGATGAGTGAAACTAAAAACATCCAAAGGAAAGTGAACTATTAAAGAAAGAATTACTGACCAATAGATGTTATGAATGTATCTGTAAAAATCCAGAAGAAAATAATGGCAAATAGAATCTAGCAGTACATAAAAAGAAAATAGATCATAACCAAGTGGGGTTTATCTCATCAACATAATTTGATGTATCATTATAAAATCAATCAAGGTGATCCATCAACCAAATAAAAGAAAAAAGCCATATGATTATATTTCAATAGACGCAGAAAAAAGCATTTGACAAAATTCATACTTATTCATGAATAAAATATCTGAACAAACTAAAAATAAAATAAAACTTCCTCAAACTGATAGAAGAGACCTACTAAAAAATCCATAGCTAACATCATTTTTAAAGCTGAAACATTGAATATTTTTCCCTCAAAATTAGGAAAAAGCCAATGATATATACTTAACATTTTATTGGATGTCCAACTAATGAAATAAAAAGGAAAAGAAAAAGAAAGAAACAGAAAAAATAACAAACATAAAAATGTTAAAAAGGTAAATGCAATTTTTTTTCTATTTGCAGATGATATAACTGTTCACATAGAAAATCCTAAGGTATATTCAAAAGAATATCTAAAATTATTAAGTGAATTTAGCAAGGTTACCAGATATAAAGTCACTATAAAAGTATATTTTATTCCCATTAACTAACATTAAATTGGAAAATGAAAAACAATTTTACTTAGAATGATATCAAAAAATATAAAGTACTTAGTAATAAATTTAACAAGATACATGCAAGACCTCTAGAGTGAAAACTAAAAAAGGCTGCTCTCAAATGACTTCAACAAATGGAGAGTTATGCCATGTGAAAGAACTGAAAGACTAGATATTTTAAGACTTCAATTCTCTTCAAATTAGTCTACAGATGTAAACAATTCCAACAAAATTACCAACAGGCTTTTTTGAAGTAACTGACAAAATAATTATAGAATGTGAAAATACAAATTACCAAAAATAACCCAAAATAAATTCTGAAAAAGAAGAACCAAGTTGTAGAACTATACCGTTAAGGTAATTAATATAGTATGAAATTGAAGTGAGGACAAATAGATCGATAAAACAGATTAAAGAGTTCAGAAATAGACACATATATGGTCGACTGATTTTTGGCAGATGCCAAGGCAATTTCATTAATAAAAACAACTTCAATGAACTATCCTGCAACAACTGGCTATCCACACAAGCAAAACTGAACCATGACCCCTACCTCATGCCACACACACAGAAGTAATTTAAAACAGGTCATAGACCCAAATACAAGAGTGAAAACCAAAAAGAAAACATAGGAGGAGATCCTTGCAATTCTGAGGAGACAGAAATTTCTAAGATTCTTCACGGGGTGTGTGTGTCTGTGTGTGTGTGCATGTGCACACTCCATAACATCCAACTCTTCACAACCCACAACCCCATGGACTGTAGCCCACCAGTCTTCTCTGTCCATGGAATTTTCCAGGTAAGAATACTGGAGCAAGTTGCCATTTCCTACTCTAGGGGAAATCCAGGGATCAAACCTGAGCCTCTTGAGTCTTCTGCATTGGCAAGCAGATTCTTTACCACCTACGCAACCTAGGAAGCTCAAGACTCTTATAGTAATCACCATAAAATAAAGTGTTGATAAATAAATTTATCAAGTGAAAGTGAAAGTGAAGTCGCTCAGTCGTGTCTGACTCTTTGAGACCCCATGGACTGTAGCCTACCAGGCTCCTCCATCTGTGGTATTTTCCAGGCAAGAGTATTAGAGTGGGATTGAACTCAGGGATCGAACTTGGGTCTCCCTCATTGTAGACAGATGCTTTACCATCTGAGCCACCAGGGAAGTCCAGTGGCTAAGTCATGCCCAACCATTTTATGATCCCATATGGACTGAAGCTCACCAGCCTCTTCTGTGCATGGGATTTCCCAAGCAAGAATACTAGAATGGGTTACCATTTTCTTATCCAGAGTATCTCCCCAAACCAAGGGTTGAACCTGCATCTCCTACATTGCAGGCAGATTCTTCACTGTTGAGCCACCAGAACAAATAAATTGGACATTATCAAAATTAAAGTCAACTGCTCATTCAAGGATACTGTCAAGTAAATGAAAAGGAAATCCACAGACTGAGAGAAAATATTCACATGCTGATACCCAAGAAAGAAATTCTATTCAAAACAAGTCCCAAAAATCCTACCAGAGGGCAAATGACCCAACTGACAAAAATGGGCAAATGACTTGAACAAACATTTCACAGGAGAAGATACACAATGGCCAATAAGCACAAAAATAAGATGTTCACCATTGTCATGGGGGAATACACTCTAAAAACACAATGATGTATCTCTGCTCAACCACTAGAGTGGTTATAAAGGCTAATGATACAAAATGCTGACAAAAATGTGGAATAACTGAAATTCTTTATAAAATGCTAATGAGAATATAAAATTGTATGATCACTTTGGAAAACAGTTTCAAGTAAAGTTTAAATATTCAACTATGACCCAGAAATTTCACTACGAAGCATTTACTCAAGTGAAATGAAAATATTTGTTAACAAAAAGACTTGAAAATTGTTCACATCAGATTTATTCATAGTAGCCAAAAATCAAAAACAATGCAAATGTCCATCAACAAAAGAATGGATTAAAAGTTATGGTATATTCCTACAAGACACTACCCAGCTGTACAATGGAATGAATTACTGATCACACTTTACTTTAGTCATTCAGTTATGTCTGACTCTTTGCGACCCCATGGACGGCAGCACTTCAGGCCTCCCTGTCCATCACTATCTCTGGGAGTCCACCCAAGCCCATGTCCATTGAGTCAGTGATGCCATCCAACCATCTCATCCCCTGTCATCCTCTTCTCTGCCTGCCCTCAATCTTTCCCAGCATCATGGTCTTTTCAAATGAGTCAGCTCTTCACATCAGGTGGCCAAAGCATTGGAGTTTCAGCTTCAACATCAGTCCTTCCAATGAACACCCAGGACTGATCTCCTTTAGGATGGACTGGTTGGATCTCCTTGCAGTCCAAGGGACTCTCAAGAGTCTTCTCCAACACCACAGTTCAAGAGCATCAATTCTTCTGTGCTCAGCTTTCTTCACAGTCCAACTCTCACATCCATACATGACCACTGGAAAAACCATAGCCTTGACTAAATGGACCTTTGTTGACAAGTTAGTGTCTGCTTTTTAATATGCTGTCTAGGTTGGTCATAA